AGTTTCTGCAGAGAGGCTTCCTCCTACTGCTAGCCTCCAATCACGAGTGAAATAGCTTGTCTCCCAAACAGACTTCCTCCAATCACGAGCCTGATGTAACTGACATCAGGGCGTCTTATTCAAGGAAGTCAGCCGAGAATCGCACGGTTGCAAAACTGCCCATACTTAGTTTCTGCAGAGAGGCTTCCTCCTACTGCTAGCCTCCAATCACGAGTGAAATAGCTTGTCTCCCAAACAGACTTCCTCCAATCACGAGCCTGATGTAACTGACATCAGTAAAAATGTGTTCTGCACTATCTTTAAAATATTGATTTTTTAATTTTGGGTTAGAAAAGTGGGGGTCGTCTTGTACATGGGGGCGTCTTATTGTCGGAAAAATACGGTACTTAATTTTTTTATTTTTATTTTTTACTTTTTGGGTCTGTGTGTATATCTTTTCCTTTTCTTTAAAATGCTTTATAAAAATATTATAAAAACAATAAATTACATGTAGGACTTTGACTGCATCATATGTAAAAATTTGGTTGCAATTCTGGATAGTTATACATGTGTGTTTCTGCAGGCATTCCCTGTATCACAGATTGTGTCATGGCTGAAATTGAGAAACTGGGACAGAAGTATCGTGTAGCTTTAAGGTAGTAGTGTAATAATTTGACTCTGTTCTTCAGTCTGATTTCTCTAAAGTAAAAATGTGAAGAATAGGGTTTCATAATTTGTTCAAGATATAAATCCTATATTCTGATATTTTTCCACCACTTTCTTCTCCCATGGATTCCAAGATCGGAAGTTCTTAAAGAGAGTAAGCCAAGGCAGTAGATCTTCCTAAATTCCTGTTGTTGAGAGTTTCAGTTCTGCTTTCAATTACATTTGAAAGAATGTTCATGCCTATTGAAGAGTTCTTTTGTCTTGCAAACTCACAATTTTTTTCTGGTGCAAAGAGAAAAAAGACAGCATTCAAAGCATATAAAATAAAATGTATTTCCATCTTACCTATACAATTGAGATTTTTTATAGATTTCTGGATTGAACTCACAGCTCATTCATAAAAGTAGCAGCACTGCATTGGGTAACAATTAACCATTTCTGTTGGGAGAAAATAGGGCTGTGCCTTCCTTGAAAATAAGTGGCAGAGAGGTGCTGTGCTTATATGAATTCCTAATTGTTTTCAAAGCATGCACTGCCCTTGTAGAAAGTTACCTTGAATGTCTCCTATTCTGAGAAAACAGGAAGCAATAAGTGTCCATCTTCAAATTACAACTGGGAAGATTTTTCTACAGTCAGATGGAGTGAGAAGGGGTAGCCATGAGGAAGAACTCTGTCTAGCTTTTCACACCACTCTGTTTAATCATGATTTATTTAACCAGCCCTAGTACTTTATTTGCTGCCTAGCGTTGCTTCAGCAATTCTGGTGACTAATACAGATTAAATATGGATTTAAAACACTAAACCAGAAATTGGCATTTTCCCCCTCAGGGATTGCACTTCAGTGATTTTGTTCAGCCTTCAAGGGCCCCAGAAGATACGGCAGTAATACCACAAAGTTTTCAGCCATTTTCTTAGTTTGGTAGGGTTGGGTTACAGAAAATAAGTGAATTAAGCTCTCATATCTTGTACTCAGGATTGGTGAGGAGAAAAAGTCAAATTACGCTGCTCATAATTCTCATTTTCCTGATGAATTTGTAGGTAGCACAGAGCCTATTTAATGTGGGGGGGGGAGCGAAATTTGATTTTTTTTAGTTTTTTATAAAAACTATCCTAATTTTTACTGTTATGATTCTACAGGATAGCAAAAGATCCACGATTTGAGCGTTTGCCATGCACTCACAAAGGAACCTATGCAGATGACTGTTTGGTACAGAGAGTCACACAGGTATTTCCTATTCTATGAACTTCTCTTGCTGTTCTGTTGACAAGTGAGGAGCTCCTTAATTTGTTCTCATTTTACTGACCAAGAAAAGCTAATATTCAGTTGGGTGTTGACTCTAGTTAATATTTTGTATGACAGAGAAGGCCATCTGGCAGTAGCTCTTGAAGTTTGCTTAAGAAATAGAAATACTTGACTTGGTGTTTTTTTAATGAAATTGCCTCTTTTTCCTGCAGCACAAATGTTACATAGTGGCTACCATAGACAGAGATCTCAAGCGAAGAATACGAAAGATCCCAGGAGTCCCAATAATGTATATATCTAACCACAGGTATGTGAGAAAGCATTATCTAACCAAATAAAATGTAGTTTATGATGTTACTACTTTGTAATAATATATTCTGAACTTTCAAGAGCATTTGTATATTTGTATGTATTTGTGTACACACACACACACACACACACACACACATTTGTAGACAGCCAGTCAAATGTAAAACAAACTGCAACTCAAAGATATGTATATGAGCAGGAATACATGTGTATATGAGCTTTATGACCCAATTACATATACAGCCCTCAGTGTCAGAAAGATTCTGCTTAGATGGCATAAAACAAGAGGTTAAATAGTAATAAAAGCCACAGTATATGTACATTTGTATATTAACAGAGAAAGCTATGAAACTAGCTCACGTACACACACACATGCACATGGACATATACCCTGGATCAAACAAAGCTTAACAGTGAAATCCTTTGCATTCAGAAGTATACCCCTTTGTATCCAGTGTGGCATATTCCTGGTTAAATAATTATAGAATTGCAGCATGTATTTTTGGAGGCATAAGCTAATGCTCCCCTCATGGATACATTGGTACTACCTAGGTCCTTCTGATTTTTTGCCACTATAGACTAACAGAGCTCTCCTCCTGTAAAGTATATGTATTTGTAATTCTGGTTGCTCATATTTATACTTCATTTCATGCCCTTATTTAATTTATATTTCTTATCTGTTTCCACTTTTGATATAGGGATGTGCAAATTCCTTGAAGTAGAGAACTATCCATTGTTTATAACCATTTGTGTTCTTGGTTTACCTACTCTAAAATAATGTATATTGATTTTTTAATTATTTATTAAATTTGTGCACCGCCCAATTCACAGCAACTCTGGGTCGTTGATGGCACTGTATAAGTAATAGTATATAATACTCTTTTACAATGTGTAATTTTTCCTACAACTGCTTAGTAATCTGTTGCTTCTTCCACTTGCTTAGCTGTATTGTTTACTGAATGGTGCAGCACCTTGAACTACTGTCTTAATTGCATAATGGTAATAGGTACTTCTGAAACTCTAAATTTGTACTGGCTTAGTACAACAAGGGAAATATGATGGACTTTGTAATTTTTCATTTTTTTCCCTCTTATTTTAGGTATAACATTGAGCGGATGCCTGATGATTATGGAGCTCCTCGGTTTTAAATACCATAGAAAGAGTGCCAAATAAACCTACCATGTCAAATTCCGGAACACTGAGCCAGTTATAATACACTTCTAATTCTGGTTCACTTCTTATGGTGCTTGGAATTTGAACTATTTCATTAGATGAGCCTCTTCCAGATAAAACGGATGTTCTATTCCATGTTCTGGGATCCAGAATAAATATTTTGTATTGTTTGGGAATAGGCTTCTGAGAATTTCTTCTTTAGTATTAAGAACCTTTCTCATGATACAACCATTTTATAAACTTTCTTCAATATTCATATATCAAATGTTGAGGTAAGTGTTTTAAGTGGATTTATGCAGAAATTCAGACACTCGCTTAAAATTGTTAAAATACTGAATATTTTGAAATTTGTGCAAGGAAAACCTCTATTCAATACATATTTCATAATTTAATATAAGTGGAAAATTAGAGGCAATGATCCTGGCATTAAGTCTAACTGACATGCAGGAACCAATTTAATTTGTATGTAAATAAAAATTACCAAACCTAAGATGGTTATGTTCAACACAGGGAGTTTCTAAAGAAAAATGATTTTAAAGAGTGCCCCCTTTGAAATATTATAGAAATAGAAAAGAATTACAAGAGCAACTACCCTGAAACATGAAGTATTTATATTTTAGAAAATATTAAATGATAGAAGTATAATAATTGTACAGAAAGTGGGTAGAGCAACATTTTCTCCTTCATAATACTAGATCCCAGGATATTCCAATAAAACTGAAAGGTTTAGATTTTGTTTAAGAATATGTTTCTGTGATGAAAATAGAAGATAAAAAGAATTTTTTTTTCAAATTAAATTGTAGTTGCTACAGAAAGCGGTTTTGTTACAAGATCCGGCCTACATGCAAAAGCAATTGGTCTTCAAGAGGCAGGTATATTTGCTATGTAATGTGCAGAGGGAAATAAAATAAATTTCTTCTCTGAAAACCCCTTTCAGCATCTCAAAGCTATGGAATAAAGATAACTTCCCATACCATACTCTTTTTCACAATACAAGGTATCTACAAATATTATTTTTTCCTTCACCAGCTTTCTTAGCAAAAGATGGAGCATTACACAATGGAAGCTAAAATGAAAGATAGCTGCCAGAAAATAGTGTCACCAAACTAAATTATTCCTCTTAAATGATATCACTAATCTGTTGAATTTTAGGAAATTGGAAGAGGAGGGGAAGCAGCTTTCCCAGGATTGCTGCTTAAAAAGCCAATCTGCAGGTGATTTGAAGTGCCTTCCAACAATCATCAATGCTTTGAGATACAATTGAAAGAAGAAGTTGCCTCAGCATGAAATAAAGAACCAGGTCGTAATAAAGCTGATTTAAATTGGGAGAAAAGAGAAGACCATATTTCTCAATCTTTATCCTCTGTCCTAGTAACTTCTACCCCATATCTAACCAAGATGTACCAAGAAATTGGGCTTATTATTCCCTTAAGTACTGCCCAAATGGAAAATCTTTTTTGCCTGAAAAGTTTAGCAACATGCAAAGAACAATTTGGGACTTTTGTTATAATCGGCATGTACTGCATCCAGTATCAGAGTATATGGTAAGGACCATGAGCAGGAAATGCTAGAATATTCACTGAGGGATTTACATAGGCTACTATTTAAAAACTCTAGAAAACAAGATGCTGGACTACATACACTCTTAATCCAGCGGGCTTTTGCATATGTTGTTTTAGTCAGCATTTTATAGGACAGGTTTTCAACATACCTCATTTATGTTTTTCAAGAGGGTATAGTGGATTCTAAAAGACAAGAGAAATAGATAAAATGGTTTTCAGCATAATGCATGGGTTAGATCCAGATTTATTTAAACAAATTCCATTCCAATGAAATCAGTAGGACACTTACAGGTAGTCCTTGCTTAATGACAACAATTGGTACCGGAATCTTGGTTGTTGAGCAAAGTGCTAGTTAAACAAGATGCCCAGGTGACTGCTTTGCTTGACGATTGCAATCCGGGCACTCCTGGTTGCGGTTGTTAAGCGATCTCCTGGGTTGTTAAGTGGATGGGGCAAAAGAGCTGCCTGCTGAAGGATTTCAGTTCCGTGCAGAGCTGAAATCCTTTAGCAGACAAGCTCTTTTGCTCTGTCCTCTTTCGCCTTCCCTTTCTCAGCAGTGAACAGTGCACCTGAAGATTTAGGGTCTGTTAACTGCCCAGCGCTGGGGGTGGGGGGGGGACCTCCCAGTGCTGGGCAGTCCGTAACTGTCCAGTGCTGAAAAGGGAGGGGAAACCTCACAGCGGTGTGAAGGCAGGGACCTCAAATCTTTGGGATTTGAGTTCCCTGCCTCTGCACTGCTGAAGAGGGAGGGGAAACCTGAAATCCCAAAGATTTGAGCTCTAACTGCCTGCCACCGCATCCCCTCCACTTGCAACCTTCCCTGCTGGCTTCCAATGGGGAAGCCAGCAGAGAAGATTGC